GAGCGAGTGTCATTCCAAGTTTAATTAAGATGTATTGGTTTTTGAAACCAAAAAATTGGGACGTGAATGAGTTTTTTTTTCACAGACGGGTGGTTTTTTCATATCAAATACCAGACGGGTGATATTTAACCTAATTCCAATACGTAGATTATATTTTAGTTATGAGCAAACTTCTGCCGGGACGTATGTGTCCCGTTCGGATAGAAAGAGTTAATTCCAAAAACTCCAACTCTTCTTCGCGTTTCTTAAAAAGGAGTATTTCGAATATTGTAAATTCATCAATTATGTTACATAAAAAAGGGTTTATGAAGTATTCAAACGTACGTTTAGATAATTTAAGATCGGCAAATCTTTTTTCAAAATCTGCTTTTAAATCATGTGGAAAATTTTTTTGTAACCATGGAAAATGATGAAATATTCTTTTTTTGAGATCATGAATAAAACGACGTAGTTTAGCTTCAAAACTTAAAATAATTTGCGACAAATCAAAAACAGTTTTATTCTCCCCTTGCACATTAGGTCAAATGATAACTTTGCGAAATTAATAGCAGCTAAAATATTGCATTATTTTAATGTAAAAAGATGGCAAACGTTAAAAATGGTGTAAAGGGAGTAAATAAAATGTGAAAACATGACTTGGCATTCGTAAAACAGACTCCTCTGCTTCTTTGTATGTTCAAATGATGAGTATATGTGTTTAAGTAGTACTCAAAAACACTGTCCAATTAGCTTGGTTTTGACACAAGTTATTTTCTTAACATACTCAACCCCCTCTCCATTAAAAGGAGCTACATAATAAAATAAGTATGGTCACATGTACATAAATGGTTTCTTCTAGAAATTCCTAAATTAAAAAAAGAAAAATATTTACTACATTTCTCGCAGATATGCCATGAGGAGAGATTTCCAAACCAGTTAGGCTATCTGCACACTTGTCGTCCAATCATAGTTGCGTTATCGCCTCACCCTGAAATTTTGAGCCGAGCACATGCATTTCAACGGAGCTCTGCACACTCGCCGTTATCGGCTAGTTATCGGCAAATCGTATAAGATGCAGAAACGGATAAGTACGGCACTGTCGTTTGCTAATCGTTGTGCACGCATTACTTGTTTACATTTTATGGGGAAAAATAAGGGAGAAAAATTTAATATTTGTATTAAAATTGCATAAAAATTAGTATTTTTTGCATAAAATCTGTGGAAATTATTAAAAAGTGGATAATTGCATTAAAATTCAATAAATGTGAGCGTTTTAACTGTAAAATATGACGAAATTGTAAAAAGTCTCTGTGTGCATGCACAAAACACATTTCAGGAAAAGAAAAGAAGAGATATTACTGAAAAAATGTTTCAGCACAGTCTATATTTTAAAAATTGCAGATTTTTGTAAATATTTCGCGAAAATATCAACCAGAAAAACAGAAAATACCTGCTCCAAGTGAATTTTTAGACGCCAAATGAATTGAAATACACGACCGAGTGTACGAAAGTGTAGTCGTCATGCAATCGTTGCATCATGATTGTGACAATGAAGCAACTATGATTGGACAACCAATATGCAGAAAGCCTTTGTCGTCATAAAACACTTCATTTTCACTTGAGCTTTCAGTATGCCCAAATTCTCCACCGCTATTATTTATATTCTGAATGCAAATGCTGCTTTGTGACACATTTAGCAAAAATCGCTGGTAACTTCCTGAAAAGAATACGAATGTTTTTGAAAGCTCTATTCACTTTGAGTAAAAAATTTCGAAATTTCAATCCGTAAATTCTCTCAAGGATTTGCATTTTTGTGAAGGCTGCTCATCAATGATCTTTGCGAATCGGCGCAAGTACCTTTGTAACATAGCCATGGCTACGCTACAGGAGATGAAATGTAATCCAAATTGAGGCTGCTATTTTTTTTGCTATCACATACTTCCATTTTCACTATTTATCACCATTAAAATTGACTATTTATCACCAAAAAGTTTGGGCTAAGCTATTTTTAGCGAAAGAGAGGACAGAACAGCAATTTTTGGCGATAGCTAAAAATTCGGAAAAATTTTAGCTTTCGTAGTTTAGCATTTTAGCGATAGGGGAAGTTAGAATCCGGCTGCTGGTCGACACAGATGGCTTTTTGATTTCGAAAAGAACCGCATCAGCAAGAAACTCTATGTTTTCAGATCTACATATTTTAGCACCCTTTCCAAATTGCTTTCCATAATTTTCGTTTTTCTTTGATAAATAATTGCAAAAAGACGCGTTTTTCTTCTAAGAGTTTCATGGAACTTTCGCAAATATCAGCAGCACCAAATTTTTTTTCAACATGGTTGACAACCGAAAAAAGGTTTTCTTTTTTTCGAACAGCCAATCAGCCAAACTTCAAACAACTCACCTTTTGTACTTAATAGCATGATTGCCCAGAAAAAAAAAAACTTTTTTTTTTTTTGAAACGGCTAAAAACGGCCGGCTAAGTAAAATAAAATAAACTCATTACATCTTAATTTATCCATTTCCTTTTCCATCTCGTTTTCCGAAAGTTAACAAAATTGTAAAAGCTTACAAAAATCATAAATGGAAATAAATCAGAAAATTTTTGAGGTTATGCAAATAAGTAACTTTTTTTTGCAAACAAATGATAAAAAGACACTTTTTTAAATTGGGACATAGGTTCTCACTTATAGTTTTGTTTTCCATTTAAAATTTTCCTTTAATTATTTGAACTTTACAAAAAAAAATTCACTTGAAACTTACAAAATAAACCGGTTGCGCGAACAACGTGTCAATAACGTTTTGAAAGTGTAACTTTGGTTTATAGCTGTCTAACGGTGTATTTTTATTTTACATAAACAAAGTGAAGTTTATGTTATTTTGGTGTATTCCCTACAGAATGGCAACAAAAAACAATGTAAAACTGTCCTTACGAAACTGGACCTTCGCACAGCCAAATGAATCATTGTGACTTGTAGAGACAAATTAAAGTTTTGCAAATGTTCCATCATATCGGTAAAGAACTTTATGTCAGAAAGCCAAGTTTCATTCTCCAATTGTGGGTAATGTTCCGATCTCAATGTATTTTAAAAAGTAAAAAGAGCCAAAATGCTAAGCAAAAAGCCGCATTTGGCTCAAAGAGCCGCGTTTGCCCACCATTGATATATACTTTATATAAGAGTCAAAGCCGTGGTGAAAAAATTATGAAATGTCGGCTCTGATCATTTCGGTCTTTTCTGGACATCATTTGGAAAGAAATAAATATTATACCAGCATGCTGGTATGTTATATGCCTCGAGCCTTATGGTACAATCTCTTGATAGTGCCAGCAAGCTGGTGTCGTGTATTTGCCCTTGTATTTAGATATATATGTAAGTAACAAAATGTAGCTAGCATTTTTAGCTACGATGATTTTTTTTAGCTCTTTTTAGCCCTTTTTTAAAAAGAATTCGGCTACCACTAAAAAGGATTCGCGGCAACACTGGCTTACACATTATTTTGCCGAACAAAAAACGAATCACAGGCCAACCTCATGGTGAAATAAATATAAGGTGATGTCACTTACATAACCTCATTTTTTCTGCATGCCAATTGCGGCCATGCATTTTGGGGTAGTAGAAAAAGGGGAAAAGATTAGGATTATTTTTACTACTTTTAACGTACTGTTTTCTGGCCGTTTATTGTAATATTTTGATTGTTTTTTTGAGCTCTAGGCCTAGGGTAAATAAAACTATTGGATGTCTTATATTCCTTTTTGTTTATTACTGTCGATATTTCGCCTTTAATCTAAAGGCATCTTCAGGACTGCAAAAACACAATATGAATACATATACAAATAATTATTTACACAACGTACAACAAAACATAGCTTACAATCTTGGCTTTGCCTGGTCGACTAAACATATGCGCGAAAATGCATTAACAAACAAACTTGGTGACAATAAGTATAAGCATGAAAATGTAAACAATTCAAAATACAGTAATCATAAACAAAAAACATACAAACAACAATACATGAAGCGATGAACAGTAAGACGAAGAATTGTATGTAGGTATCATCCCAACATTACATTATTGTTGTCCGAAGAAATGTTGCTATCGGACCGACGATTCGTGTTTTCCTGAACACCTGACACCTACACTATTGATTGTTGCTGTGGGTGAGAACTATATTGCGATACACATGAGCGCAATTATCGGTGTCTGTTTTAAAATGCATCCTTTTATTATTAGGGGTGTTCATGATATGTAGCATCTCCAAAACATATCGCTTATTATAATTTTTCTCTTCTTGCAAGATAGCTACATTTTCAAAGTCAGGATAATGTCCCATTTCCTGACAGTGAGATGACAAGGCCGTCTTATTGTCCGACGAATTGCTCCTTAACTTAATATTAGACTTGTGAGCGGAAATCCTTGTCTTTAGTTTAGATTTTGTTGACCCCACATAAACCATATTGCATACGCCGTCGCCACTGCATGGTATTTTGTAGACTACGTCGGATTTCTCATTTCTGGGAATTTGGTATTGCTATATATCTGCTGTAATGAGTTGTCATAAGTGAATGCTATTTGAAAGTTCTCCTTGTCATACATTTTGGAATGTTTAATCCTCTCCGATAATCCCGGAATATAGGTCGCCGATTTATAAACTTTATTATTTAACACTTTATTTTCTCCCCCCTTATTGTTTCTTACGTAGTAGTTACGTATGAGCTTATTAATCATACCCCGAGGAAATTCGTTTCGTCCTAGGATTTCTTTAATTATGGTAATATTCTTCGTGTGATAAATTTGGTCACTTATGGAGACAACTCTTCTTATAAAATTGCTAGCCGTATTTAGAATTGCTTTCTTCTCAGCTAGAAAGTAAGTGCTTTTCCCGTATATCAATAATTTTGTTTTTGTACATTCGCTCTACAATTTCGTTATTTTTGTCTTGTCTTGTCGCAAAACCGCGAACCCCCCAAGAATTTACGGATTACCCAAAATCCATAAAGAAGGAATCCCTTTAAGACCTATATGTTCGTCCATTAACTCACCGTGTTATAATTTATGTAAATATGTTGTCCGTATACTTAAAAATCTAACAAAATCCTCAAAATATAATGTAAAGGACGCCATGGAATTCAGAGAAAAGATTGGAAGTACGTATATTTATGACGATGAAAGTTTAGTGTCATTTGATGTTGTTTCGTTGTTTCCGAGTATACCCGTAGATTTTGCCATAGAGATCATAGACTCAAAATGGAGTTCTATACAGGAGCACACACCGTTAACTAAGGATCTATTTTTAACCATACTCAAATTTTGTATAAAAGAAAATCGCTATTTTAGGTATAATGACAAGATTTATGAGCAAAGGTCGGGAATGCCTATGGGTTCACCAGCATCACCCGTAATAGCAGACTTAGTTATGGAGGAACTATTGACGAATTTCGAGAAAGACTCTGACAATAAACAACGATTATTAACTAAATATGTAGATGACTTATTTGCAATTATCAAAACAGAAACTATGGACAAGATGCTTAACACTCTAAACAACTATAATAAAACAATAAAATGTACAATCGAAATAGAAAAAGATGGACAATTGCCTTATCTGGACACCCTAATAATTAGAAAGAACAATAGAATAACATTCGACTGGTATAAAAAACTGATAGCATCAGGGAGGCTCATAAATTTCCACTCCAAACATGAGAAGAAAGCAATTCTAAATACGGCTAGCAATTTTATAAGAAGAGTTCTCTCTATAAGTGACCAAATTTATCACACGAAGAATATTACCATAATTAAAGAAATCCTAGGACGAAACGAATTTCCTCGGGGTATGATTAATAAGCTCATACGTAACTACTACGTAAGGCAGTCAGCACGCGAGGCGTATGGCTTTAACGCGTATTAGATGCTACATACGAAAGTTGTACGCTTTGATGCCGAACACAAGTATTTAAATGGAGAGCTGCACACGAGTCGTCAGCTTCACGAATTCGTCAAAACGAGCTAGCTGCAAATCGCTTGGCGTACAGCAGTGTTGGTAGCTAGGCGTACGTACGCTTAGAAAAGAGGAAGAAGAAGAAGTTTTTTTAGAATTTTGCAAGCATTTTATGAAAACGTTGTAAAAATGACGGACGAAACGATAAAATTCGTGCAATTAATAGAAAAATATCCCCTCATTTATAATAATACGCTGAAGGAATACTCTCGAAAGGATTTAACGGAAAAAGCTTGGTCAGAGATTGCTGAAGTGATGAAATGGTCAGGTATGTACATATGCATAGAAAAGTGGTTGAAATATACAATATTTATCGGCGCTTACATTTAAGCACTGAAACAAAAGAAAAATATGTTTACCATTTGAACTTCTAATTTGATCCACAAACCACGACGAGACTATAAACAATTTTATTTTAATTTACTTGTAGGGGCAGAATGTAAGGAGAAATGGAAGAATATACGAAATGGATTTGTCCGGAGTTTAAAACCGTCTCCCAGTGGTTCTTCGGCAAAAGCTAAGAAGCCCTACTATTTGCGAGACATATTGGAGTTTGTTTTGCCGTATGTTCGACCAGTCCAGCATTCGGAACACACCGCAAACTTCGAAATAAAGGAATCTGATGTGCACCACTACGAGGAAGTAGAAACAACTGAAGATGTTGACCACGGCGATATTAATGTAGTGGCTGAAAAACGCAATCATGCCTTTGCCACTCCTTTATGTGTGGAAAACAACAAAAAAAGGAAGAGACTTGGAGAAGCAAAGGATGATGTTGACATGGCAGTTATGAATTATTTAAAGGAAAAAACAGAAAATAAAGCAGATCCCCGTAAGATGTGTTTGTTGAGCTTACAGGAGGACATTTCGAATCTTTCCGATGTACGATTCAGGCAGTTCAAAATACGGACTTTACTCTTGCTAGAGGAATTGTTAAGTGAACAAGACCAAGAGACTGGAAACCAGCAGTTTATTCAAACGCCTGTATCTAACCACTCAAGCTTTCAAGTCAACACGCCGGCTCCATCGCCGATTGATCCACCAACTGTTTTTTACAGTACAAGTGACAGTGCCAACAGTGACTCAGACGTGTTCAGCCAACAATTTTTTATCAACAATGAATAATTTTGAACACGCACGTTATATGTTATGTGTTATGTGTTATATGTAAATACACTGCCGGAACAAAGTATTGGCACAGCAAATTTTTGGCAATATATACAACAATTTTCATTCTAGTACTTTTCCGCTAATTTTGTATAAAAATTATCTTAAAATATAATTCCTAAACTTTGTGCAAAACGCGCGAAAATTCAGCAATTTTTCATCAAAATTTTCAACTTTTTAATCAATTTTTTTGGATTTTTTTTGAGTATGCAGATTTGTAGCCCAATCAATTTTATTATGATAAAGTGCAAGTTTTAAGTAGCTAAGAATTACCGTTGATTTTTGGCAAATTTTTTTCGACAATACTTTATATGGAAAAAATGCCAAACACCTTCA